GGAGGGAGAGACACAGGGAAAGGGGGTGAAAGAGGCAGAGGGGGAAGAGAGGGACAAAGAGGGAGAAATGAGAGAGAGACACACAAGGGGAGGGGAAGAAAGAGGCAGAGGGGGAAGAGAGAGACTGGGAAGGAGAGGGGAGACATTGACACACAGGAGCAGTGAGGGGGAGAAAGAAACATACAGAGTGACTGGGGGAGACAAAAAGGCACACAGAGGGGCTGGAGATAAAGAGACACACATAGGGGCAGTATATATCACAAAGCCCCCAAGGCTTTCCCCTGCCGGCTGATCTCCCTCCCCGTTCCACAGGCACCGTGCAGCCAGTCGGCAGGGGAGGAAGAGAGGACCTGGGGCAACGCTCCGGCTCTCACGAGGGTGAACTCTAGCCCTGGAGCTATGGGCTAGAGTTCACTCTCACCACTTCCTGGTGGTCCCAGTAGTAGGAGTGAACTCTAGCCCCATACACACACTGCCCCACACACACACCATACACATTCACACACTGCCCCCACACACACACCATACACATTCACACACTGCCCCCACACACACACCATACACATTTACACACTGCCCACCCACACACTGAACCTTTCACACACATGGCACCACTGCTCCTATACCCTACTACAGCCCCATATCCCAGCAGACTCCAGGTAAGTTGTCAAACTGTTCTTAAACGGTTTGACGACTTACTCTGGGAGGGGGTGCCGACGCTCCTGGCACCATAACGACTACACAGAGGAGTAGTGGTTATTGTGCATGGAATATTTCTTTAAATAATCTACAAGTGCCCCTCTCAGGCTCAGGCTCTGGATCCGCCATTAGTATATGACATGTATATTAATGTGTGTATTAGTTTTATATCTCTATTATATTTACAAATATTAATGTACATTTATAAATACATAATACACAGAGAAATTTCATTAATATGTACCATATGTAATGAGCAGATATTGGCCCAGTCTTGTTGCTAGGTGCATACTCCAGCACAATAACATATTTAAAGTGAAGAGCACACCCACAGGACTTCAAAATAAAAAAAAATTCAGTTGTGCCCTACATACATTCACCATTTCAGTCCCATTAACAAGCCTTCCTTAATATGTCAAGGTAGTTGGACTGAAACATTGATTACATACAAAGGCACGTCTGCTTAAAATAAATCTGCACTTTTGTTTATTTTGAAGCCTATGAGTGCGCTTTTTACATTGAAGTACTTTTTAATTTTAAGTTATCTGTTCTAACTCTGTATCTGCACACTATGCTGGCGCGACGCATTATGGGGCTGGTAAATATTTTTTTTTCCAGGGCTGCTTTTAATTCCCAGTCCGGCCCTGCCTCGGACTCCAGTCATTTATACACTCCCGAAAATCCATAAGCATTCCACTAAACCTCCCGGACAACCTATCGTCTCGGCAGTGGATGGGATTTTGGAGCTGATTGCAAAGTACTTGGACTTTTTGTTCAAATCACCAGTTAATGCAATTCCAACATGCATAAGAGATATGGCGCAATTAATAGAGAAGTTGAAAAATTTAAAACCAGCTGATGAACAGATTACTTTAATTACTTTAGATGTATCCAGCCTCTACAAGGTAATACCCCATGAAGGGGGCATTGACGCCATGAGAGATTTACTGTTTGAGACGGAAAACTATCAAAGTCCTCAATTAGAGTATACGTTGGAACTCTTAGCCTTGGCCCTAAGGAACAACTACTTCAGATTTGAGACTAAGTGGTATCTACAAAGAGCAGGGACATCCATGGGGGCAGCAATGTACCAGTACGAGAAGGAATATATCTTTAAAAGATGGACACATCTTAAAGTATTTTCGGTACATAGAGGACATTCTAATCTTGTGGAAAGGTGGTCTTGAGGAAGCAACAAAATTTGTTGAAAACATTAACGGATTCGAAACACCTATCAGAGTGACATCTAATATCAACAGTCACAAGATCCAATTTTTGGATCTAGAGATTATACTTGAGCAAGGAAAAATTGAATACCAACTATACAAATAACCAACAGACCGTAACATCTTACTCCATCATGAGAGTGCGCACCCCAAACATGTGAGGGACTCTTTACCTTACTCACAATTTTTGAGAGTAATTAGAAACAACTCAAGGGAAGTCTAGTGTGAAGTACAGTTACATGAAATGTATAACATTTCACTCTAAGAGGCTATACACATAAAGTGTTGGATAGAGCACTAAGAAATTCTAGAGACCATATAGATGGGGGGGATACAGCGGCAATGTGATATAAAATCGAGAATTTCTTTTCCAATGACATACAATACATCTACCACCAGACTCTGCCAAACAGTCACCAAAAATTAGCATATTGTGGAAAAAGATAACAGCCTTCTGGATAGCCTCCATAATAAACCGATGTTTTCTTATAAGAATAGCAAGAGACTGAGAGATCTTCTAGTCCATACGGACCCGGTTCAAAGATATATGCCAGCAAATAAGAATATAACAAACAACGGTTGTGTGAGATGTTTAGGGTGTGTCACCTGTGGACACCTTATTCCATGTAAGAGCTTCAATCATCCACATACGGGGCAATTATTTAGAATTCAACATAGGATCAGCTGTCAGACTGTCTTTGTCATTTATAAATTGTCCTGTCCGTGTGGGATTAATTAATTTCGGCAAGACAGAAACTGCTCTTTGTGAAAGAATAAGGGGACATAGGTCCAGCATTCGGCTGGCTAATAGAGATAAAAAGTTGGATAAACCAGTGGCACGTCACTTTTTGGAAAAAGGCCACCCCTTGACATCGTTGAAATGCGTGGCGATAGATCATCTTCCACTCTCAAGAAGAGGTGGCAATAGGCAAGAACAACTACTGCAGAAAGAGACATGGCGGATCAAAAAATTGGGGACACTTGCTCCTAATGGACTCAACGAGAAATTATCTTACATTTCTTTTCTGTGATAAATAAGTGTTAAATTGTATGATCAAATATATGGAATTTGTAGTGACTTTATTATTTTTATTATTTAGCTTATATGCCCGGCCCCTTTTTAAAAAAAATTTAATTTTTTTTAATATTAATTATTTTTGGGTTTAAGATACTTCTACACTTTTTTTCATTACAGACTATAAATACAGATGCTCATTATTACTCTTTATTGTTTGTATAGCAAATGAGGGTATATTGGACCCTCCTCTCCCCCTTTTCTTTCGCTATATCCATTTTTTTTGGCTCATATGAATATATGTTATATTCATATTTATATTCACATTCTTTATACAAGTCATTTGAGAGCTATGTTGCCCATATTATATTAGTTTTTTTTAGGCCATAGACACGATATTGCACTTTCATAAGCACTGACACTTTACCATAATTTTTATGGATTTATTATTTTTCACATGAATTATTGCAATAGGTTTAAGCACGGGTTCAGAAGTTATAAAGTTGCAATAAATATTAGAGATTATTTTTTTTAATTAATATTATGGCTCTGTCAGCCTGTTTATTCAAGTTATATTCCATATGTTAGCACAATAAGTATGAATTATTGGGGAATTTTGCACTTTTATATTTGGACCCACTTTGGTCCATGAATTTTCTGAGCCATATTCTGGATATAATACAGAGTCCACTATGGACTGACAGGTCCAATAGCCTCGTACAAATCAACAGTGACATTGATATTAGCTTTAGGCTTTGTGGATTTATCATAGAAAAGCGATATGATTAGAGGGAGCAAAATACAACAATGTATTTATTTTGTTTCATTGAGTTTTGCTAGTTATGTATCTAGCAGGGATAACCAGCAACATTCTGTTCCCGTTCAGGGAGCAGACACTAGACCAGAGTTCAATACGCATGCGCTGGAATCTCCTTGGTTACGAGGAACGCTGGCGCTTGGGGAGTGAGCCGGAAAGTGAAGGTTAGGCGCTTAGTGCCATAATCATTATGGCAACCAGCCCACGTACGGAGATAGCAAGTGTGATTAATGAGACGTTGATTTCTGGTGGTGTCTGCCCGTACGTCCGGAAGTCGGGATGACCGGCCCCTGTATACAGCTGATCTGTAAGTTTGTTTTGATTGTTGTTTGTATTTAAATGTGCAAAAAAACAGAGCTGTATATACTATACAGAAATAGGGCGCCACTTATCACCAGATATACAAACTGAATATAGTTACCCTCCAACGAGCAGATGAGGATATTCACATAAAAGATATAAAAAGAGAAAACATCATAGTGCAAACTTTTAATCCAAAATGGTAAAAAACATATAAATAAAAACACTCACAAACGGTGTGGCACAATTGATAAAATCAATATGTGCTAAAGTGCTGATGCCTATAATAGGCTAAATCTCCCGGTCTTAGCAGTCTGTAGGCGTCTGTGTAAAGGCTGTAGCAGAGACAGATGAAACCGTTCACCATCAGCTGATCCAATTCCCGGGTTTGCTCAACGCGTTTCGTCTGTTCTCAATCAGACTTCCTGCTTTATGTATCTTGTTTGTATTTAAGCACAGTTTTGTATCACTTGTTGCTTGCTGTCCTGATGAAAGTTCCCAAGCGGAACTGAAGCAAATCCTGGGAGTGCTGAGCACCAAATCATTTACAATGTGAGTAGGAGTGCAAGGTTTTTTTTCTTCTTTCTTATATATATATATATATATATATATATATATATTTTTTAATTGGGGTAGCCCCCAAAATATTGTGACATATAAAAAAAGAAACATTTGCTGCCTGCGGTGCATTTCTTGCAGTCCTGATGCATAGAGAAATGCTCAACTCCTGATGCATGGAGAAAAGGCCTTCACAAGCCTCTGCTATTGTGTACATTATTATTATTAGTATGATATTTATAGAGCACCGTCAAATTCCACAGCGCTTTACAATCAGTGGACGAACAGACATGTAGCTGTAACTAGACAAATTACAGAGGGGTTGAGGGCCCTGCTCAATGAGCTTACATGCTAGAGGGAGTAGGGTAAAATGACACAAAAAGGTAAGGATAGTATTAGACTAGTGACAGTTGCAGAAGAGGAATCAGTCAGGAGCTATTAACAGTTTAATTGATATGCTTTTATGAAGAAGTGGGTTTTTAAAGATTTTTTGAAGGAGTGGAGACTGGGTGAGCATCTAACGGAGGAGGGAAGCAAGTTCCACAGGAACGGTGCAGCCCTGGAAAAGTCTTGTAGGCGAGCATCAGAGGTGAGAGTACGGACAGAAGATAGACGTAAGTCTTCAGCAGATCGTTAAGCCCTAGACAGGACATACTTGTGTATAAGGGAGGATAGATAGGTGGGAGCAGCATTATGTAGAGATTTGAAAGCAAGAACCAGAATTTTAAATTGAGCTCTATATTTTATAGGAAGCCAATGTAGGGACTGACAGAAGGGTGAGGCATGGGAGGTGCGGGCGGACAGGATGATGAGCCTCGCCGCCGCATTCATTATGGACTGTAACGGCGCAAGTTGGGAGCCCGTAAGACCACTGAGAAGCGGATTACAGTAGTCAAGGTGAGAGAGGACAGTGGAATGGACCAACACCTTAGTCGCATCTGGCGTTAAGAAGGGGCGGATGCGCACAATGTTTTTGAGATGGAAATGACAGGATTTGGTGATAGATTGAACATGAGGCTTGAAGGAGAGGTCGGAGTCAAAGAGAACACCTAGGCAGCTAGCCTGTGTGGTGGAGCTGATGGTAGCACTGTTGACTTGGAGGGAGACAGACACAGGAGTAACAACTTGAGGGAGGAAAGACCAGAATTTCAGTTTTGGTCAAGTTTAGTTTAAGGAAGTGGGCAGCCATCCAATTAGAAACAGCAGAGAGGCAGTCAGAGACACTAGTCAAGAGGGACGGGGAGAGATCAGGAGAGGACAGGTAGATTTGTGTGTCATCTACATAGAAATGATATTGGAAGCCAAAGGAGCTAATGAGTTTACCATGGGAGGCAGTATAGATGGAGAACAGTAGGGGACCAAGGATTGAACATTGGGGGACACCAACAGAGAGGAGTTGGGGAGAAGAAGCAGAGCCAAAGAAAGAAATACTGAAAGAGCGCTGGGAGTGGTAGGAGGAGCACCAGGAGAGAGCAATATCTTGTAGAGCGATATTACGGAGGATGAGAAGAAGCTGTTGATGATTAACAGTGTCAAAAGCCGCAGACAGGTCAAGGATAATTAGGATAGAGTAGTGACCATGAGATTTTGCAGCGAGTAGATCATTGGATACTTTGGTCAGTGCCGTTTCCACAGAGTGCTTAGCACGGAAACCAGACTGAAGCGGGTCTAGCAGAGAGTTGGACTCGAGGAAGTCTGTCAATCTCGCATACACAATTTTTTCAAGGATCTTGGATGCAAAAGGCAGAAGCGAGATAGGACGATAGTTGGATGGGGAATTAGGGTCAAGATTGGGCTTCTTTAGAATTGGGGTTACAGTTGCATGTTTGAAGGGCAATGGAAATATACCAGAGGAGAGAGAGAGAGATTGAGAATTTTAGTGAGAGGTGGAGAAAGAGAAGAAGACAGAGTACAGATGAGATGCGAGGGAATTGGATCTAGGGAGCAGGTGGTGTGGCGGGAGGACTGGAGCAGAGCAGAAACCTCTTCCAATGTAGTGGGTGTGAATGAACATAGATTGTAGAGATC